ATCATCGTGACACATAAACAGAAATTCAAAACTTTTGTGTCAACTAAATAACAGTTCATAGTGACACTTAAATACCGTATAACAGGAATGTTTGGCCACATTTTAATTTTCGCCTTTTTAAACCTTTCGTCATGAGAGCGAATTTATCACGTCTGTGATAATAAACACACTGCATACCACACATAGTATTTATAGGCGAAGGTAGAAAATAACAATGCACCAAAACAGATTCTACCTGTGAAGGGCGAAACATTTTACTTGGCAAAAAAATCCAGGTATACTGTACATGTTCATAGCTATATATGGTCACATTTTTATTGAAGTTCAAAGTGAAACTTGAATAGAAGATCACAGCTAATGTGTGCTTTTAGTAACATTATTTAGTGACACCTAAGTGACACCTTAGTGACACACCTTTGTGACACCTAAGTGACACACCTTTGTGACACCTTGGTACCCTGGTGACTCCTTAGTGACACACCGTTGTGACACCGTGGTACCTTGGTGACAGCTTAGTGACACAGCTTTGTGACACCTTGCTACCTTGGTGACACTAAGGTGTCACCTTGGTACCTTGTTGACTCCTTAGTGACACACCGTTGTGACACCTTGGTACATTGGTGACACCTTAGTAACACACCTTAGTGACGCCTTGGTACCTTGGTACCTTGGGGACACCTTAGTGACACGCCTTAGTGACACACCGTTGTGACACCTTGGTCATCCTGTCAAACTTTCACCCTTCGCTGGTATTCCGTCTTTGCGTATTGCAGAGTTATCTTCTCTTGTGTCACCAAGATACCAAGGTGTCACTGAGGTGTCACCAAGGTAACAATGTGTCACTAAGGCGTCACCAAGGTACCACGGTGTCACAAAAGTGAGTCACTAAGGCGTCACTTAGGTGTCACTCAATAATGTTACTAAAAGCACACATTAGATGTGATCTTCTATTCAAGTTTCACTTTGAACTTCAATAAAAATGTGACCATATATAGCTATGAACATGTACAGTATACCTTGTCACTAAGGTGTCCCCAAGGTACCAAGGTGTCTCTAAGGTGTGTCACTACGGTGTCACCAAGGTACAAATGTGTCACTAAGGTATCACCAAGGTACCAAGGCGTCACAAAGGTACCACGGTGTCACAAAAGTGAGTCACTAAGGCGTCACAAAGGTACCACGGTGTCACAACGGTGTGTCACTAAGGTTTCACCAAGGTACAAATGTGTCACTAAGGTGAGTCACTAAGTTGTCACTTAGGTGTCACTCAATAATGTTACTAAAAGCACACATTAGCTGTGATCTTCTATTCAAGTTTCACTTTGAACTTCAATAAAAATGTGACCATATATAGCTATGAACATGTACAGTATACCTGGATTTTTTTGCCACTAAGGTGTCACCAATGTACCAAGGTGTCACTGAGGTGTGTCACTTAGGAGTCACCAAGGTACCAATATGTCACTAAGGTGTCGCCAAGGTACCAAGGGGGCACTAAGGTGTCTCCATTGTACCAAGTGGTCAGCAAGGTACCAAGTGGTCACCAAGGTACAAAGGAGTCACAAAGGTGAGTCGCTTAGGTGTCACTAACTAATGTTACTAAAAGCACACATTACTAAGGTGTCACCACGGTACCAAGGTGTCAAAAAGGTGTGTCACTACGGTGTCACCAAGGTATCAAGGGGTCACAAAGGGGTGTCACTAAGGCGTCACCAAGGTACCAATATGTCACTAAGGTGTCGCCAAGGTACCAAGGAGGCACAAAGGTGTGTCACTCAGGTGTGTCACTAAGTTGTCACTTAGGTGTCACCGAGGTACCAAGGTACCAATGTTTCAATAAGATGTTTCACTAAGGTGTGTCTCTAAGGTGTGTCACTGAGGTGTCACCAAGGTAGCAAGGTGTCACAAAGTTGTGTCACTAAGGTGGGTCACTTAGGTGTCACTCAATAATGTTACTAAAAGCACACATTAGATGTGATCTTCTATTCAAGTTTCACTTTGAACTTCAATAAAAATGTGACCATATATAGCTATGAACATGTACAGTATACCTTGTCACTAAGGTGTCAGCAAGGTACCAATGTTTCAATAAGATGTTTCACTAAGGTGTGTCTCTTAGGTGTCACCAAGGAACCAAAGGGTCACTAAGGCGCGTCACTAAGGAGTCACCAAGGTACCAATATGTCACTAAGGTGTCGCCAAGGTACCAAGGAGTCACAAAGATATTATATATATATATAGGAGATATAGATATATATATATATATCTATAGCAAACCTATATATAATATATATATATCTATAGCAAACCTATATATAATATATATATATAACAAATCACAGCAATAACAGTTTGCATAACACTACTGATTAACAAGAGGGAATCTAACAGGGTCTGCCAATATGCATATATAATATTTTTAGCCAACATGATATATATAACTTGGTACCTTGGTGTATATTATCTTATTGACAACTTCTAATATTTTTAAACCTTCATCCAAGTTATATTCGTACTGTTGTGAAATTCAAGAAATGTTTTAGTCCCCAATAACAGCAACATATTTGGGGAGAGGGTATTGCTGTGGTCTGAACTGTGTTTAAAGTGTAATATATATATATAACAAATCACAGCAATAACAGTTTGCATAACACTACTGATTAACAAGAGACACCTAAGTGACAACTTAGTGACACACCTGAGTGACACACCTTTGGGACAGCTAAGTAACACAACTTAGTGACCCCTTGGTGCCTTGGTGGCACCTTAGTGACACACCTTTGTGACACCTTGGTACCTTGGTGTATATTATATTATTGACAACTTCTAATATTTTTCAACCTTCATCCAAGTTATATTCGTACTGTTGTGAAATTCAAGAAATGTTTTAGTCCCCAATAACAGTAACATATTTGGGGAGAGGGTATTGCTGTGGTCTGAACTCTGTTTAAAGTGTAATATATATATATAACAAATCATAGCAATAACAGTTTGCATAACACTACTGATTAACAAGAGGGAATCTAACAGGGTCTGCCAATATGCATATATAATATTTTTAGCCAACATGATATATATAATATAGCTAACACATATAATTCATACTGTTGCCAACAAACATATATATCTCTAGTCAACCTATATATATATATAATATATATATATCTATAGCTGACCTATATATATATATAATATATATATCTATAGCAAACCTATATATAATATATATATATATATCTATAGCCAACCTATATATATATATATAATATATATATATATATCTATAGCCAACCTATATATATATATAATATATATATATCTATAGCCAACCTATATATATAATATATATATATCTATAGCCAACCTATATATATATAATATACATATCTATAGCCAACCTATATTTATATAATATATATATCTATAGCCAACCTAAATATATAAAATATCTATATCTATAGCCAACCTATATATATATATATAATATTTATATATATATCTATAGCCAACCTATATATATATATATAATATATATATATATATCTATAGCCAACCTATATATATATATATTATACATGTATTATGTTCATTATGGATGTGAATCATTGCCCTAAATTCTTCTTTAATATTTTAATTGTCCCCGGCTTACTTCATTATTTGCATGGGTGTATTTTATAAATTTAATTTGAACAGGTAGGCAAAACATTTGGTAGAAACAGGACAAACTGATAATTTTGAAATTCAAACAATATCAAGCATTTGAAAACAAGAAACTGCATAAAAAACAGACTAGAAATAAAGTGTATGTATTTCATAAAAACTAGAACACTGACAGGTCAGTAAGGGTCCCGTCTTGTGGCAATATATCCCCCATAATCATCAAGAAGCAATCTGCCCATATAGCTGAGCTTGACGTTTGACATTTGAACTTCAAAAAGAATCGCAAGGAAGCAGAATATACATTTTACATGTACTATCATGTGAGTCTTGTTGCCTTCCACCTCCATATTTGCTGGGCTAACAGAAATGTAAATACCGGTGCAATACTCATTTGTTAGCTTTGATTTCTTTGATTTCACCTTATATACCTCCTCCATCAAGAGCCAGGGTCAAAGTCAGAGATCCACTTTGTCTTTGACCTTTGGACCCAAATGACCTTGACCATTAACCCAGTGACCCTGATCTTTGGTCAGTTGACTTGTTCTTTAATTCCGACCAACTTTGATCCTTAATATCATAACAAAATGTTCATCAGTGAAAAATACAAAACTTGACCTTGACCCTTTGAACCCCGTAACCTGAACCTCAGGTCAGTTGACTCTGTGTTAAGTTCTGAACAACATTGCTTCATAATGTCATAACAAAATGTTCATCAGGGAAAAGGTACAAAATTTAACCTTTGCCTTTGACCCAGTGACCTTGACCTTTGGTCAATTGACTCCTTTTTTAATTCTGAGCAACATTGCTTCAAAGTGTCATAGCGAAATGTTCACCAGTGAAAAGATACAAAATTTAACCTTGACCTTTGAACCAATTACCTTGACCTTTGATCAGTTGACTACTTGTTTAATTCTGATCAACTTTGCTTCATCATGTCATAACAATATGTTCATCAGTGAAAAGATGCAAAATTTGACCTTGACCTTTGCTTATAATGACCTTGACCTTTGACCTCAACTTTTTACCTCAGTGTGTCTCTTTGTTTAATTCTGAACAACTTTGCTCCATAATGTCATAGCGAAATGTTCACCAGTGAAAAGCTACAAAATTTGACCTTGACCCCTGACCCGATGACCTTGACCTTTGGTCAGTTGACTCCTTGTTTAATTTTGATCAACTTTGCTTCATAATGTCATAACAAAATGTTCATCAGTGAAAAAATGTAAAATTTGACCTTGACCATTGAACCTAATGACCTTGACTTTTTTCCTCAATGTGTATTTTTGTGAACTGAACATCTTGACCAAGTTTCATGTACAACGGTCAATAAATATTTAAGTTATCAGCCAGGAACAAAATTTGTGGACGGACAGACAGACAGACAGAGTGATTACTATAGGGCACCCGTATCTCCGTAACGGGGCCCTAATTATAGAACAAATCTTATCAGCTAATATTATTCACTCCCATAGATAGTAGTGTAATGGGGTTTTAATGTCGACAGAAACCAATCTGGTCAAGGGTCCACAATGTGTCATTTGACCAAAATCACATTCAGTAGTAGAAATAAACAGCTAGGATGTGAAAGCTATGGGGGTCACCTGCCTGACCACGTGGGATTTCTCTAAATACATCGGTTTCCTCCCACATTAAGACCCCCCGCGCTAACATCCGGGCCAACAACAGTGATTAATATAAGTTGTAATAACTTGTTTCATAATTGTTGTAAAATAAATGAACTTAATTTAAATAAATAGCTGATGATCATAATTTACCATGTATGAAGAATACTGCATAAGAAATTAGAATCATATCAATAAATAAACCCCCAAAAATCTAGAAGTTAGGATATAGAGTTATAGAAACAAAACCCCTCCCTAATCCAACTTGTATCATAAGTATAACAATAATAAAACGATTATTTCTTTCATATCATCACAAGACTCGTGTGTGATTCAGTAAGTATAGCCATGCCCAATTACTCCAACTATGGGATACTTAAATATCTGTAACAATTCTTTCTAAAGTTATAATATTTTATCTGGAGAATGTAACTAAGGACAAAGTAATCCTGGCCTCAATCTGGAAAATGTAACTAAGAACCCTTCATCTACAAAATATAACTGAGAACAAAGTTTGCTTGGCCTTAATTTACAAAATGTAGCTAAGAACAAAGTTTGCTTGGCCTTAATTTACAAAATGTAGCTAAGAACAAAGTTTGCTTGGCCTTAATTTACAAAATGTAGCTAAAAACAAAGTTTGCTTGGCCTTAATTTACAAAATGTAGCTAAGAACAAAGTTTGCTTGGCCTTAATTTACAAAATGTAGCTAAGAACAAAGTTAGCCTGACCTTAACCTGGACAATGTATCTAAGGGAGACAATCCACCTGTAAAGAACTACTATTAATAAATGTAAATGACTTGGAGGACTTTGTACCAACCCTAATAGGCCACCAACCCTGCACCACCACCTCAATGCCACCACTCCTAGACCGCCATCCTTCGTTCTGACTTACACGTACGACCTCCTATTGATAATTAATGCACTATAATATAATTCTGGCTACTCCGGATCCCCAATGATAAGACCTATTCTGATTGTATTGTGTGATGTAAATCAAAACATAACAGTAAAGTGATGAAGTGTATACCACATTTTTTGGCACAGTATTTGAAACTCTAGCCTCTGATTGGTTGAAGCTACTAAGTGATAAAAATAGAGAGCAATGTTGTGTTTTGTGAAAAATTCTTTTGTTTTTATCATAAATGGATGATGTTGCCTTAATCATGGACTAAAATGTGTTTCTGTCTTTTAAATTGGATTATAAGCACTAACCATAAATCTCATTTGAGTTGTGCCAAGTGCACAGTTGTTTGGTTATTCCTTATTAAATAGAGAAGAAAACTTGTTTCAGATACTACAAGGGTTATCTGGTCATTTCTTTTTAGACTGAAAAAAAAAAAAAAAAAAAACCAGCTGCAAAATTCATCCAGAATGTTTCAAATTTGTCAATATATGCCATATTCATGTCTAAATAAATGTGCAGCTGATTGGTTAATTATTTTTATGCTAACACTGTATTATTCAATAAGAACACTTCAAATAGGTAAGCCCTGTATAATGCTGGCCAGCTTAAGTTAACGCTGTATGGGTTAAAACCGATGAATGGCCACTAGCTATATGAGAACTACAACAGAAACACAAATCAGTATGTTACTGAGATGTCAGCAATAATAATGCACAAGTATATGAAATAAAAATTTATAAGAAACTACTCACTGTTTATTTCAAATATCAACAAACGCTTGAAAAGCATGATAAATTCATTGTAGAGAGACATCACAAGGTAATTATATACTAGTAGACACATGCAAACTGACTAAAGAGGTGTCCCCTAGCATATCATAATGAACTGTTCCAAAACAAAACAAAGAAACAGTCCATTCTTGATGCAGGGGTGATACAGCATGTCACTGACTTCGTAAAAATATTTAGCATGCAGATGAGGTACATCATTCTCAATATATATGAAAGCACTTGTTAATAATCTATACACAGCATTGTACAATATCTACAGTTACTACATAATGGTGTTTCATTTTGCAGCTTTTATGCAGTAAAGTTGCTAGGGGCAAGGAGTTACTGTTACTTTGAAAATTTCACGGGGGAGATTCCACGTGCCCAAAATATAAAACATATTAAATTTGTGTATATAAATATACCGCCTTGAGAAAACATAACACTTAAAATAACATATTTCGACTTGTTCTGTCAGATGCAACGATTAGATCTTATAAATAAAATACAATTTGTAAATGTTATGCAAAGTCAGTGGTTTGAAAGTATCAAATTTAACCCTTTCAACGTAACTTTAGTAGACTCTACCATGCATTGATCTGGATCAGTCCATTATGTTCTACAGAGGTGAAATGGTTAATTAAGAGTCGAAAATCGAGTCTCCCTCCAGAAAGGGAGAGTTGGCAAGTATGCAAAAGCATGGGCCACTTTCCTGTATCCAAATGAAACCGTCCAGGTAGCACAGACAATATTCCAGGTTTTTCTTTCCAGGTTTAACCAGTTGAAATGGTTGAACTGGATAAATACAAGAGGCTTTTGTTTGTACAGACTGAAAGGTAGAATACTATGAATTCAAACCCTGCTAACTTTTTTTTATATAATAGCTGTAAAATGAAACATTAGTGTCATTATTACTCTGTTCTTAAATAATTTAAGAATCACGTTTAATTATAATACATTTTTTTTTCTCATTTCAGAAGCTAGGAGTGAAATCTCAATCCTAACAGGCATGATCCTCATTGTCACAGACTTATGATGTCAACATTACATAGAGTTGATGTAACAGTAGACTGGACTATTGTGGGACAGTAGGCTTATACAATATTAACTCATTCACCCCTGAACACACATTTAAACTCTTCCAATTCAAAGGTTGGAATAGCGCATTATGAAATTTCAGGGGTGAATGAGTTAACAAAACTACAGACTGGAAGAAAATAGAGAAAATGTTGCTTATTGTTACTTTTGAGGGGGAAAAAATTGAAGATAATGTAACTTTTGAGGAGGACACAGAAAATAGGAATAACATAAACTAAGACTTGAAATTGTAGTTTTCTGACATTTTTTGGATTCCAGTTGTTGGACTTCAGAACATAAATAAGTGATTTGATCACTCTATCCAACAATAGTCCCGGTATACTGACATCACTACACTCTATAACAGTTCACTATAGAAGATTAAGGATCCCTGTCCCACTGCACTGTGGTTTTTCCTGTACTGAGTAACCTCCCCTTAACTTTGTTTGGATATAACTGTGGCAGTTTGTCCAGTCCTGACACTTCTGTTGACCAGGTAGCCCCGTCGATTATTGACTATCCGTCTGAAGTCCAGGGTTCAATTCCCATTTTAGCCCCACTGTACATTTTTACACTTGGAACACTATGGTAGATTAAACATTTTGTTTCGTCTTGATGATTTTTTCTAAAAGTCCCGACGCAAGTAATGTTTTTCTTCTATAATTTATTTATTAAAGCTACAGTTATGTTGGGGGAAAAAGTTTCCAATGTGCAGTCACATTATACTTGGCAGTGGTATGGGGATCCCTAATATAATCTATAACACACTATCTAATTAATAGTTTAACAATCTACATTTTATCATCAACAATGTATACGTTAACATACTTTATCTCATATATATTAATGGTTCAATAAAGGTTTAAGTCTCTCTCAGTTCTATGTACTTTATCCAACATAAGTATGGTTCCATATAAACGTAATTCTCTCTCGGCTAAAACCTGAAATAAATACTTGACAAGCACCCACAAAAATAGAAAATTACTCAACGTACAAGTGTAGGTAGATTAATTGTTTTCAGGAATGGCGGACGAGAATTATCAAAGATGAGTTCAGATGAGGTTGATACATGGACCAGAACTTAATCTGAGGTGATTTGCTGCAGAATGAACATTGTCAATTCAGATCCCTACAGTATACAACATGTTAGTAATAGGTGCTAACACATAGGACCGTCAACAAAGTGGGGTCCACAGAGGGGTAATGTACTATCTAATACAGAGTTTTTATAATGTACTGGGGTCCACAGAGGGGTAATGTACTATCTAATACAGAGTTTTTATAATGTACTGGGGTCCACAGAGGGGTATTTTTGATTTATTACAAAGTTCTTGTAATGGATTGGGGTCCACAGAGGGGTAATGTATTATCTATTAAAGAGTTTTTATAATGTACTGGGGTCCACAAAGGAGTATTTGTGATTTATTACAGTTTTTATAATGGACCGAGGTTCACAAAGGGGTGTTAACGATTTTTTTGAGTTTTCATAACGGAATGGGGTCCACAGAGGGGTATTTGTGATTTATTATAAATAGTTTTAATAACAGACTCTGTAGGGACAGAGACAAGCTGTACATGTAGTGACTACACCCATTATTACCTCTATATCAAGCCTGTTTTCCACACTGTCCTCTGTGTAACTGTTAGGATGGTTCAATGTGATTGTTATGGTTACTTGTGAACTCACCTTAGCTTACAAGAAACATCGTAAATATCAAGGCGTTTAGAAAATATCATTGTTTACAGTAGAGAGAACAGTAAGGATTTTCTGTAGACAGGTTACAGTATTCAGTGTGTATTATTGAACATTTCAGAAATGTTTTACAATGCCTCGTACTGAATCTGTTTTATTAATGGACGTATTAAGTTTTAACATACTGCATATATCAAATTAATTACTTATGTCATACCTGTACTTCTAACACCTGACTTAAGAACACCTGGAAATACTAGGACACCACATCATAACATGCTATATGAGAATACTTTGTGGAGTAAAGAACTGTCTATAATATATATGGCACCCGACTTTTAGGACATGATCCTTAGGACACATATTACATGAGATTATATCCTGGAGTGACATATGTCCTTACTGACACCTGACATTTAGGACATCCTGTGAAATCAGACATTTGTTTTCTGGCCCAAAAATACATCTTTCTCTGTATTTGATCTTCTTCTAACTGACACATTGTCTTATCTGACCAACAGGTCCACTCTGCCTAGATGTCAATAAAGACAAGCTTCACAATACATTTTTTGACCAGTACTATTAGATATAAAAATCAACAATGTTATAAAACTTTTGGGAAGACACTAAACAATACATCCTACCTATCAACCTAGAGATCTTATAGACATCTGTGTATACAGTAAAACCTCAAGTTAATGCCCTTCAATCTATTTGCCACCTGGCTTACTGACAACATATATATTTCAGGGTCCTTTTTTCTCATTATCAAATAAAATTTGTTGGTTTCCATTAACTTATACCCAAACCTTTAATAACACTAGAATTTCTTTAGACACATGGTGTCAGCATGTCCTGTACATCTGTGTTAGACAACCAGACTTCCCAATCATTTTCTATTTCTTTTCCAAGTTGGCATAATCAATATAATAATTTCCTTGTGTATTCCACTTCTCTGAGATAACCTCTTGTCACGTATTTGCCATTTTGAGCCTTCGTACACTGTAGACTTTTTGTGTCTTCCATCTTTAAATCCTGGTAAACTGTAGACTTCCAGTATCTTCCGTCTTTAAATCCTCGTAAACTGTAGACTTCCAGTATCTTCCGTCTTTAAATCCTCGTAAACTGTAGACTTCCAGTATCTTCCATCTTTAAATCTCGTAAACTGTAGACTTCCTGTATCTTCCATCTTTAAATCCTGGTAAACTGTAGACTTCCAGTATCTTCCATCTTTAAATCCTCGTAAACTGTAGACTTCCTGTATCTTCCGTCTTATAATCCTGGTAATCTGTAGACTTCCTTTATTTCCCATATTTAAATTCCTTCTGTAGATTTCATGAATCCACCAATTTTAAACCCATACACACTGAAGACTTTCCTTATCTGTTGAGTTCCCATACACGTAGGACAAAAACTGTCCTTAAATCTTCTTCTCATGCATATGCATGTCGACTCGCATCATTTGATTCATTGTTCCTCTCACTGTCCTGACCGTCGCCTCTCTCATTCCATCTATACGTATTAACGACTATTTACAGTACACAGGCGAAGACAGAACGTCCCGTATGTATTATATACACTAATAATGATGAACACTAATTAAAATGTCTCTCTCTCTCAACCAACTAACTCATTAGCTCTGTACCTGCAACGAAACAAGACACATATTATCAAGAGTTCCTAAGTAATTATCCAAAAACATCATATACGGAGAAACAACGAAAGAATTTCCAGATAAGCAGTAACCTTCAGGATAATGAGGATTGGCTATATAGTTACCTGGCATCCTGTAAATGACTCCCCCCCCCTAATAAGTCACCTGTGTAACATAATTAACATTCCTAGGTAATACACACTTCAAACATCTTATTTCATGGTCTTATTTTCCCCAACAAATAAAAATATTTATGACGATTTAACCTTGTAATGTAAATGGAAAAATGGCAATGTATTAACTCCCTATTCTGTATAGAATTACCCCAAAACTTAATGTCCAAGTTAAAAAGATACTTATAAAGAAAAAACTCCAGGAAAACAGGTTATTCATATTATTTATATCACAATACATAGATATTACCTCTAACAGGACCAGACATTCCTGAGACTATATGAAGACTTAATTCACAGTAGCCATTTTTTATCAATTTTCCTCGATAAAATACATACACCATTTCCATTTGACCTTACCAAGGTTTGAGGTATCTTACCAAGGTTTGATGTATCTTACCATTGTGTTTGTGTGGAAGGTCTATCACATTTAGATCTACATTAACCGGCGACACGTGGTCGTAACCGCCTTTGGAGGACATCTGTGACTGTACTTCACTCATCTGAAAAAGTAGAGTTTAGAGGTTGAAATACAGAATAGAGGTCAGAGGTAACATGATAAAGGTCAGAGGTCATGATAAAAGACAGGGGTCAGAGGTAACATGATGAAGTACAGAGGTCAGGGGTCATGATAAGGTACAGAGGCTAGAGGAACATGATAAAGGTCAGAGGTCACAATAAAGTATTGAGAATGATGTACCTCATCTGATGCTTTATATAATATATGATAGACAGGGAATTTTTCTGTGAGGAAATTTCTGATTCCTCACACTGGTTTTGGTGTAGATATATATGGCAAGGCTGCCACAATCAGTGGCGGATCCAGAGACCTATCTTGGGGGGTTTCCAAATTTCCAGGGGGGGTTTCCAAGTGGGGAAAAATTGAGAAAAATGGTGAAAATACATGATTTTTAAAGAAAAAGGGGAGGGGTGGGAGGTGGTTCCTGAAGCCCAAAAAAAACCTCTGGACCCGCCACTGACAATGTTATTCACACTTTGTTAATAACAACTATTTCCTGATGTCCTCATGTGGTAAATGAAGAACCAGCTAAATGTCCTCCTGTGAAAATTTACATTGTGCTACTTATCAGAATATTCAGTTTGTATTAGACTGGTATGAGGATGTGAGCTCCTTTGTTATAACAATTCTATCACAGTCAAGACAGAATTACATCCTCTTTTTATTTAATAACCATTATCAAGTTTGAATCCAGTTACTTCTATGGAAGAAACCGAGATGTCATTTAGCTAAACATTTCTATTAGCAGTGCCCTGCCTCATAACAGCTGGAAGCCACAGAAGCTTTGTGTAAGTTTCCAAACCTAGCCCATTGAACAGAATTTGGAATAAATGAAAGACAATAATGCAGGATGAAATGTATCTGTTTTTGAATTAACATATCGTCACGAAAAAGTATAATTGATACAAGGAAATCAATATCAATATCCCAGGAGCCTACTGTAATGATATCACTTTATCGTTTAGTTTTACAGTTTACAATGCTTATCGACTACTTTAACCTGCACACATACCATTACTGTATTACACATGTACCAGCCTTGTTCTGGGTGGATGAGGGAGAAAATAAAAACAATCTAAAATGTTCACGAGGGTTCTGTGTTGTGACAAGACTAACGACGAATATAACATCTACCATGTAAAATGAAGTGTTGCTTCATCACTATTTATTGTCAGGTAATAAAATAAGACATGTAAACCTTACTGTGTTCATGGATGACGACACACCGTTGCCGATGTCTCGAGACCCAATGTGTCCCGTGTGGCGGAAGTCTGTCGGCTGTCCAATCATACTCGGGTCTATCCGACGCCGTCGCTTCTACAAACAAACAACAACTGTTTAATTTCATTAGAAAAATTATGAAGTTTTACACTGTGACCTATATGTTGTAATTTTTATAAGTAATATCTATTTCTGCTTCAAGTTTCTACATAAAACCAAAACGAAATTACATTGATATGGCTATAAATGTAACAAGATCAGTGTCAAGCAAGTTTCATGGAATACATATCAGAGTGCAGCAAAGAAAATACATACATTTGTACATGTATGTATACTGTATGCTGTTCAATTCCCTTGTATATCTTTATTATATATTGATCATGAGTACGAATCTGATTAAGTTATACTTGTACCCAATAGTATAAAGTGACACCTGCCTTATCCAACACCATGTGGGACATAATTTGTCAGCTTACATAGAATGTCGGAATACAAAGAGAATATATATTATTTTTTATGAATATATAGATTCTAAAATCTCGTGATGAAGCTCAAAAGACGCCTTTGTTAAGTATGCCTTTTCCCTAGGGTGTTTATACACACATTTTATAAGGTTTTACATGATTTTAGTTTATAGCATGCAGCAATTATCTCCCTTGGGAATTTCAAAAGGTTGGAAAGTACAATATATAGAGAAGGCATAAAGATGTTACTTAACTCATTCACCCCTGAAGGTACATTTGAGCTCCTCCAATTCAAAGGTTGGAATAGTTCATTATGAAATTTCAGGGATGAATGACTTAAACATGGACACCTATGTGTTTAGCTGTTGTTGATGTGAAGCACTTTGGGATTGTGGAAAGAAACAGCCAATATAGTTATAAAATATTTACTGGTAAGATATATACATACATGTAATTCGTGCGACATAACTCATTACATATAACAGTTTATATACATGAACCCCCCCCTAAAACCTATACACTGGTTCCAATGCCTATGCTAAGCCTATATAACGATTACAATGATTTATTTCTATTAGATCAGCCAATGTCAGTTAATCACTTTTAAATCTCACTTTCATCACAGACAAGTTCTGCTGTTATGATATTTCTGTACTTTTGACACATGCACAAACCATTCCTCTCTGGGTTTTTTGTGAGGATTGTTTTCATAGTTTCCCCATTTTTTTTGTGAGAATAGTTTCCATATCCTGAATTCTACATACCAAAGCTAGTTATACAGCCGGTATTACTGATAAAATATGTGTTATAGGAGAAACAGGATACCTGAAGTACAGGAGTACGGCGACCAGGCTAGGACTACGTTACACAGTTATCTCCCCTCCCTCATATATACATCATATTGATATGTAATTACATGTAAACTGTTACACGGATCACTGATAATACCACATACCTGGTAAAACAGTCTGAGCATGTACAGCAGAGGTCTACTGTAATACATTACACCGTTTGATGTACGTAATCTGTCAAGTTACTGGGTTTTAGTTTAAACAGGATACTGCTACACTGTTAACATTTACGAAAATTAATCCGACTTTTTAGAAACTTTTATCAGATTATGCCAAACAAAATGTTTAATCAGACAGTATTTGTAGTTTTTTTTTATCTTAGGTACATTAGAAAAAGATGATTTGTACTGTCAAAAATCAAAACTTAATGTAATGGATTCACTGAAATAATAAGCTATTTCATTTTTGCAGGCTACTTATTTGCTGCTTGCAGACTGCAACATGTTCCATAGTATTAAATTAGGAAAACAATGGAAACATAGAAAAGATATAATTTTGTTTCAACAGATCTAGATGATCATGAGAAGTCATGAAGACAGAGGTATCATAAACAGTAAAGATAGGTCACTCTTCAGCTGGGTTTTCTCCGGCTACTCTGTTTCCTCCTACATGAAGACCCCCTGCGTGCTAACATCCAGGCCAACAAGAGTAATAAATATACGTTTAAATAACGTTTTTCATAATTATCATTAGGTAAAAACGCCCATGTCAACGTGGTGCTTGGTTTAACAGCCTATTTTGATTAAAGATGGTAGACCCAGCTGCCTGACATTGTCACGGTCATCGTTTTTGGTACCTCTACTACTACGGCCGGACTTGTGTATCTCTTGTGGAATTTGTCTACTGGGTAACATAGAACTTCACTGACCTCTACGGACATTGGATCTCCCACTCCTCACTGTTTCATAATTGTTGTAAACTAAACAAAGTTATAATAAACATTTACTGTTCTGTGTTGCACATGTCAAATATGAAATTTATTTATTTTACACCAATTATGAAACAAATTTGTACACCTTATACTAATCACTCTTGTTGCCCCAAATGTTAGCGCTTGGGGGGGTCTTTCTATGGGAGGAAAACGAAGTACTCAGAGAAAACCCAGGTGGTCGTGGTGCAGGTGACCCGGCCCCAAACCTTTTTTAACGTCCGATCGGGGAATCGAACCACGGCAGCCTTGGTGAAAGGAAAGTGCGCTATCCGCTGCGCCACCAGACAACCCATGTACAACATAAACCTCTTTGAATATTAAACAGTGTTAAGGATGTAGATGCTACTTTACTGAGATATAAATGAATCTTCTTTCAAAAGAATGCCAATCAGTTACCCTCAGGTAATCAGTGACCCTCGGGTAATCAGTGACCCTCGGGTAATCAGAGACCCTCGGGTAATCAGTTACCCTCAGGTAATCAGTGACCCTCAGGTAATCATTGACCCTCCGGTAATCATTGACCCTCGGGTAATCAGTGACCCTCGGGTAATCAGTGACCCTCGGGTACTTACAGGTTGAGGTTGTTCTGCAATACAGCATGTAAAACAAAACAAAGTGTCGCCCATCTCAGCTCGCCCGACAACCTGCAAGAACAAACAATCAAACACTTAGTAAAAAAAAATTACATTGAAAAAAAGTCATTGAGAAAAACTGAACATTAACACTTCACCCCCCTATACAACCTGAAACAGCACAAACATTCAAACACTTGGTTCAAAAATACTTCATTCGAAAAAACACACCATTGAGACAAACTCAACATTAAAAATATAAAGACATAATATAAAAATATGACACAACTGGAACTTCAGCTTAGGTACTGTGGTATAGAAATTCTTTATCAAATACAACCAAGTCTAAAAACTGCAAAAAAAGAATTGTAACAAAATTAAGCAGTCAACAAAATAATTTTATCATACATGGAGGAATCCTAATAGACCACTGATACATTAACATACAATTAACCCTTTCACCCCTGTGTAACTTTAGAACACTCTACCATGCATTGATATGGATGAGTCCATTATTGTCTACAGTAGTGAAAGGGTTACTAGTGTTTTTTTGCGTAATTTGGGATGGGGCCTTTTTGTCTTTTGGAAAGAAATCATACCAATTGGGAAGGAAATTTTCAGGAGTAAACTGCAAATTTTGGGAATTAGGCATAAATATGAAATAGTTTCATTTGGGAATGGGGGCCCATTATAGGTCCCAAAAAGTAGCCAGGAAAAAACCCCACTCAATTATGTACAGTAATGAGTGCAAAACATATGATATTTTTTTTTATCAAGAATACCCTACAGTTGCGAGTGATCATGACATGTACCCCCATAAAAGGGCAAACTGAAACCTTAACACTGTTTTTGACTGTATCCAGGAACTGTAAGGACAAAAATGGCAACTAAAATTAATAAATATTGGTAAGTTGTTGTAAATGTCAAATTTATAAGATCACACCATTAACAAAATATACATTATCATAGGTGTCAACCTCAGTGAAACCTCCAATGATGGGGGATCTCGCATTCCACTTTTCCAATGAGGGAGAAAGTGTATGAGACACAACTGAAACTGCTTTGCTCAATCTATATAGCTATCTTTCCCTTATTAGGTATCACAATAACTCCAAAAAGCATTCATTTGATTCAGACACACATCATTACACACACCCTGCAGTAACTTATAAGGAGATCATTTGACCACAGGATGTAGATTTTGAGTTGGACTTGAATGAGGAAATATTGAGGGAGATTGGTAGATTTCATTCAAAATGAGGGAGTCTTCCTCCTAATGAGGGAGAGTTGACAGCTATGCATTGTGTGTACACGGAACACCTATGTACAACCAGACCCACTTATATAGTACACATGACATAGACACACTGTAAGTATCACTGTACACGGAACACCTGTGTACAACCAGACCCACTTATATAGTATACATGACATAGACACACACTGTAAGTATCACTGTACACAGAACACCTATGTACAACCAGACCCACTTATATAGTATACATGACATAGAGACACACTGTAAGTATCACTGTACACGGAACACCTGTGTACAACCAGACCCACTTATATAGTACACATGACATAGACACACACTGTAAGTATCACTGTACACGGAACACCTGTGTACAACCAGACCCACTTATATAGTACACATGACATAGACACACTGTAAGTATCACGGCGTGCGTCATCACTGTTTCCTCACCACTAACCCCTGTATGATACTCATGGATCGTAAACAAGCATCATATGCTTTTATGTCATAATATCTAAAAATATATACAATAAATTACGAATTGTCGTTAATTAAATTGAAGTGACCACTTTGACAGTATGTGGTACATGTAAGTACAGGGTAGTCGTCGATGACCAGTCACAGTACATCCCATCACTTAATTATAAGTATGTACAAGTAACACTGATATGTTTACTTGAGATTTGGTTGTCTAAGTGAAAATCGTGACATCTGCACGTTATCGTTTCAGTTAATATTTCAATAATGATTTCCAGTACAGTCCACAAATTTTCCAATTGAACTTAAGCTATTTTCATGAAATTTAATAGACTTAGTCTGCCATCTTTTTTAAGTTTCAATTTGTTTAGGTTGTTTTTAAGAGTGAAATCAACATGAAAGGGATCATATTTCAATAATTATTGTTTTAACACGACCCCTGACTTACTTCACACAATTGTACAAAATATAAACACCGCAACCTTGATTCTCTTCACTATGATAGAGTTTGTTTGAAAATTAATGATGTTGTGCATGTATTTTAATGGTGTTGCTTTGTGATGCAGTATTGACCATTAACGATGTACATGTCTTTTAATGGTGTTGATTTGTGATGCAGTATTGAACATTAACGATGTACATGTATTTTAATGGTGTTGCTTTGTGATGCAGTATTGACTATTAACGATGCACATGTATTTTAATGGTGTTGCTTTGTGTTAATGCACTATTGACCATTAACGATGTACATGTATTTTAATGGTGTTGCTTTGTGTTAATGCACTATTGACCATTAACAATGTAAATGTCTTTTAATGGTGTTGCTTTGTAATAAAATTATTGACCATTAACGATGCACATGTAAATGTATTTTAATGGTGTTATTTTGTGATGCATTAGCTATTGGCCATTAACAATGTACATATTTGTTAATCAAGTGTTGCTTTGTGATGCACTATTGACCATTAACGATGTATATGTATTTTAATGGTGTTGCTAGCTTTGCATTGGACTGACCATTAATAGTGCTACATAGTGTTTGGAATCACTCCAAAATTTGTGGTCGATCATCACATATAATTTCCTAAATGATCGATAATTGATCATTTATACATTCACCAAACTGGGTAAAATGTTGTGGTTACTTTTTACCTATATATCCATAGCTATGGGTAGAAATGCTGTATGAATGCAGTTTAAAGTAAAACAGTAACAAGTAAAACTGTTTGTTTGGTAGGTTTTCAGATTTGCTCCTAATGTCAATGACTCATTTTAATGTTGAGCGTTTTCATGTTATAGTCGAACCATGATCGATCTTAGAAAATCATGATTGATAAATCATCGACAGAGGTAAAACGATTGATTTCTGATTAAATTGATTCATCGGGAACAACACTAGTGCTACTCTGAATTTACACCCTGCTCAAGAATTAACACCCTGCTGAAGCATTTATGCCCTGCTAAATCTAGTCTTGAAACAAAACCATGTTGGTTGGTCCTTGTCAATGCAAGCGCTAACACATGTAGATTTAATATGATCAGTATCGCCAGCTGTGGTTCACTTAAGTAGAGATGTTTACGGGACCTGGCCATGGGTGTACAGATATTATACTTACCTACTTGTATACAAGGTTACACATGTTTACGGGCCCTGGCCATGGGTGTACAGATATTATACTTACCTTCTTGTATACAAGGTTACACGTGTTTACGGGACCTGGCCATGGGTGTACATATATTATACTTACCTACTTGTATACAAGGTTACACGTGTTTACGGGACCTGCCCATGGGTGTACAGATATTATACTTACCTACTTGAATACAAGGTTACACATGTTTACGGGACCTGGCCATGGGTGTAGAGATATTATACTTACCTCCTTGTATACAAGGTTACACATGTTTACGGGACCTGGCCATGGGTGTACATACATTATACTTACCTACTTGTATACAAGGTTACACGTGTTTACGGGACCTGGCCATGGGTGTACAGATATTATACTTACCTACTTGTATACAAGGTTACACATGTACTGGTTCTCCAGTCAACAGTCATAATAACATACAGCTCAGAGTATTCCACTTCCTTACACTGGGTAACAGTCATCATACTATTGAGACACTTATAATTCTTTTACTTTTTGACCCCATGCTCCTTATCCCTTTCTCCTCTGTCCCATTTCTACGTTTCACCTTTCATTCTATCCCATTTCCTTCAATCCTTCTATATCCAAGTTAAGCCTCCTTTTGTCTCTCTCATTCAATCCTTTTATCCCTTTCTCCTATCGTCTTTCATTCAATCCTTCTATCCCTTTCTCCTATCGTCTCTCATTCAATCCTTCTATCCCTTTCTCCTATCGTCTCTCATTTAATCCTTCTATCCCTTTCTCCTATTGTCTCTCATTTAATCCTTCTATCCCTTTCTCCTATCGTCTCTCTTTCAATCTTTCCATCCCTTCATCATATCGTCTCTCATTCAATCCTTTTATCCCCCACCTCTTATCGTCTTTTATTTAATCTCTCTATCCCCTTTTTAAAATCATCTCTTTTTCAATCCTTGTATCCCCTTCTCCTTTCATTTCTCGCTGAAATCGTCTATCCCCTCCTCCTTTTGTCTCTTGTTCAATTCCTCCATCTCCTCCTCTCATCATTGCTCATTCAATCCACCTATCCCCTTCCTTTCTATTGTCTCATATAATCCTTCTTTCCCCTCCTCCAATCGCTTCTCATTCAATCCCTCTATCCTTCTCTTCTTCTCATCTATCATTCTATCCCTATATCCTCATATACCTACTGTTATAATTATAATCCTTTCCATCCTTTTATTCCTTCTTCCCTTAAAAATATAATCTCAGACTCAATCTTTCTATCCCTTTTTCTGTCATCTTCGACTCAATCCACCTCCTTGTTCTCCTCCCATACATCTCCCCCTACTCTCTACAGCTCTACCTCTCCCCTTGGTTACCACCAACTGGGGGCCCCCTCGTTCTCCTCCCTTACTTCTCCCCCTACTCTCTACAGCTCTACCTCTCCCCTGGTAACCACCAACTGGGGGCCTCCTCGTTCTCCTCCCTTACTTCTCCCTCTACTCTCTACAGCTCTACCTCTCCCCCTGGTTACCACCAACTGGGGGCCTCCTCGTTCTCCTCCCATACATCTCCCCCTACTCTCTACAGCTCTACCTCTCCCCTGGTAACCACCAACTGGGGGCCTCCTCGTTCTCCTCCCTTACTTCTCCCCCTACTCTCTACAGCTCTACCTCTCCCCCTGGTAACCACCAACTGGGGTTCAGTAGGTTCAGGATGTAGATGTTTATCAGCTGGAGAGGAAT